CTGTCTATTTTTAAAGGTGGCGTGATGCTGAACACAAGGTGCTGGAGTTTCTCGCCGTTTGGGAGGAAGCAGAGAAACACTGGGCTCTTTCTGGGGTGAGAACGCAGAAATTCTGATATATATATACACTACAGGACAGAAATTTGGAATAATTAAGACTTTATTTAATGTTTTAGAAGTCTCTTCTGTTCTCCAAGGCTGCATTCATTTAATTAAAAATACAGTAAAAACAGTTATATTGTGAACTATTATTGCAATTTTTTATGTGAATATATTGTAAAATGTAATTTATTCCTGTGATCAAATCTGAATTTTCAGCATCATTACTCTAGTCTTCGGTGTCACATGATCTTCAGAAATCATTCTAATATGCTGATTTGCTGCTCAGTTATTATTATGGTTAAAAACAGTTTTTGCTGCTTAATATTTTTGTGGAAATCATACTTTTTAAATGAATCTTTGATAAATAGAAAGAACAGCATTTATTTTAAATAAAAATTGATTGTAACATTATAAATGTCTTTTAATCAGTTTAATGCATCTTTGCTAAATACAAGTATTAAGTACTTACCCCAAACTTTTGAATGGCAGTGCATCACAGTTTTCACTGAAATATAAAAAAAAAAAAAAGAAAAAAGTTTTCAACATTGACAATAATCAGAAATGTTTCTTAAGCAGCAAATCAGAATATTAGAATGATTTCTGAAGATCATGTGACACTGAAGACTGCAGTAATGATGCTGAAAATTCAGATTTGATCACAGAAATAAATTACATTTTACTGTATATTAACACAGAAAGCAGTTATTTTAAATATTTATAATTTTTCCAAAAAATTTACTGTATTTTTGACCAAATAAATGCAGCCTTGGTGAGCAGAAGAGACTTCTTTCAAAGACATGAAAAAAATCGTAATTATTTCAAACTTTTGACTATGGATGCACCGATAGGGTTTGTTTTGGCCGATACCGATTTTAACAAACAGCTACTGGCCGATACCGATATTGGTCAATTGCTAAAGAGAAATTATGCATCGTGTAAATAAATTGCATTATGCCATCACAAAAATAAATATATTTTATTGTTATAATTAGGGATGCACCGATAGCATTTTTTTGACCGATACCCATTTTAACAAACAGCTATTGGCCGATTCAGATATTGGTCAATTGTATAAAGCAGGGCTTAAAAACTAGAAAAAAAAAAAGATTGGTTCACTCCGAGCAGAATCGGTATTTGATTGTTTCTGTTCCTGCGTTCCTCTGTGAAACCGGTTTGAGTAGAAAACATACCGGTTAATAACGTTATTTTTTTTATTTTTCTTTGCCAATAATAATAATAATAATAAAGTACAGCGTTTCATTTACTCAAACATAAAAAAAATCATGAAGAGAGTCTTGAATGATCTCTCTTAGTCATAGCCAATACAGCATCATCTTTTCTAGATTTACCAAAGACCAAATGTATTAAACAAAAGAAAAAAACTGTCAACGCAATAAAAACATATTTAATAATTGATATTTAAAAATGTTTCAGCATGGATAAAAAAACGCTACTCCTATAAGCGTTAATTTTGAGAGGAAAAAAACAGCCTAAATTATTAGGCTACATGTGTTTGTACATGACAAACACAATTAGGCTATTTTAGTTCCCTCCTCTCCACAACAAAAGTTGTATTTAGGCTAAATACAACTTTTGTGCCAAAA